AAACAAAGGTTTATTTACAAGTTACCACAACTGTCAAAATCGGCAAAACCAAAGTAGCGGTACCACTGACGGCACCACCTTTCTTCGCTGCATCGTGCATACATACATAAAATGTGAAGTTACATAAAAAAGATGTTTTAATTATTGCACTCGATTTTACTATTTTTTTTAAAGAGGTGTGTATGTTGTCTCGAATTCGATTTGCTATGGAAGGATAAGCTTTGTTCTTCCCCTCCTCCTGACGGCTTTCAAAATGGAATTCATTTGCGTTCAAATTTTCCACTCTGTAGTAAATGCAAATGTTGTGGAGTGCTCAAACAACGTTTATAATTTNGAAACAGTAGTTTCTTACAGACTAGTTACAAAATTAATATATGCAGGACACTAAAACTATTGATTAAACTGGATACAAGATTCAAAAGAAAGAATACAAAAGATTAATAAACAAATTTCTTGAGTAAGAGAAATCAAGTGAGATAGAATTCGAGATCAAATTAAGCTCATTTAAGGTACGTACCAAGGGGGCATTGCAGTTTTCTATTAAAATATTTGGTACTAACAAATGCTTGGCTTGCTTCGCGACGCCTGATAAGAACTTTTGCGTTGACCAATACAAAAATAGGTTTGAAATGCAAAAAGGGTTTGTAATGTAAACGCTATTGGCTTCGGTTGAAAGGTTAAATCCTGCTGTTCCACAGGAAGAAAGAGTTCTCCCGCTCAAACGAGGACATTTATGTCCCTATCGTGTTCTTTTTAATTCGTCCCACTTCTTCTTGATATACCCATGGCCCGTTGGTGTGTCTAGGACATATGAGGCGCCTTAAAAATTTTGCGCTTCTTTGTATTCATACTTAAAAGATGGGGTTTACTTAAGTTCTGAACACATTGAAAACGACGAGCTACGGACCACAGCTTCCAATTTGTCATCTTCATTATCTAAACGCTTTGTCGATGGCGACATGATTTCTTTGAAAGCCGCAGCAACATCATGAATTTGTATGAGTTTGACATAAAAGATGAGGAAATAGATCTAATCTAGCCACAACCACAGCGGTTGCGTAGCCCGGTCGTCGCCAAAATAATTATCTACATAAGAGTACGTGTTAAAATAATTTGACAGCTGTGGTTTGTAGCTCGTCGTTTTCATTTAGTCTGTGCCTTTGAACTTCGGACTAAAACCTGTGGAACTGNATGAGGCGCCTTAAAAATTTTGCGCTTCTTTGTATTCATACTTAAAAGATGGGGTTTACTTAAGTTCTGAACACATTGAAAACGACGAGCTACGGACCACAGCTTC